ATAGCAGAAGTGAGAGATGTCTAAAATTTGGAGAAGCCCAAGCTTGAAAGGTGTAGGTGATGACTGTGTGACTCCCCATTTTGCTTTCCGCTGCCTATAGCACATTAATGATCTCTTGGTGATTGCAGACACTGAAGAGCCACTTTCTCACCCTGCTGAATCGGTTATTAACAAGTGGCGGCTTCTTACGTGGAGCATATTTGGCCTTTTCTCCACCAGACACTGGTGCTATTGTTGCAAGGTGGACAGAAGCGCTTCTGATCACTGTGTAGAATTGAAACCAAGTAACTCCAACGACTCTTGCATTGTCCTGCTCCTATTTTAGTTTCTCAAGACAAATATTTCAGAGACTTGAATTTGTGCTACTTGAGGGTTGACCGAATGTTGAAAACAATTTTCATCGAGCAGCAAAATAGGCTACAATCAGTTATTTCCAGGAGATATGAATAGTGAGAGCCTACTGCACATAGAAGCTTTTTTATCAAAAAGGTAGAGGAAGGAAATATTCCTCTCAGCTATTGCTATTAGTCGAACTACGGAATAAAAAGAAAGAGGGGAATAAGCAATGAGTAGGACAAAAATCGCATACCAAACGGAGTCAAATGAAAGGGGCGAGCTGTGAAGGTGATTAGATAAGTCGCATTCTCGCTAGTCAAATTATTTGTTCGAGCCCAAAAGGTTACCTTGACAATGGAGTTATTTAAGTTCAAAATGAGCCCAAAATCAGGTAGAAAATGCCATCACCAAATTTCCACAAGTTTTTAACTAATGTTAATGACTTCGTCTCAGACGAGTTGGTCAATTACGGGGCCATGGACACAGACATAGAGGGTCAGACGTTGTAAGGAGGAGAAAGTGAGTTTGATGTAGCTCGACTTGTGTAAGCCAAATGTTTTCACCGCGTCTCCTTAAAGCCATTCTAGGAGTGTTTTACAAGCCTCCAAGTTAATGATCGCTTTAGGGGAAGAAAAGTACAAATGCCTTGCAGCATTGTGTAGGCCTGTGGTATACACCT